AAATGCTCCCTGAGTTCTGCTGCCTTTCCCTAAATCAGAGATAGAGAAACCCTAGCCCCAAAATTCAGCCGTCATCTTCTGCCGCCTGGTCTCCGTTCAAGACGGAGAACATCAGGGGTAGAAATGGATCTCTTCGGCAACCTCCTTGGGTAAAAATCATAGCTCGATGTAGAAGGAAAGAATCTCGACCTAGTGCTTACCTGTGCCGACGATTGTCGTACTTCCCCCTCCATTGTCGTCGCCGATACCTGACTCAGAGGCAGCGGTCTTCGTGTTTTGGGCATCTCGGAGCAGATCAAACCTGCTCCTCCATAGGCTCCAACTCGGTAAGCACTCTACTCTTTAATTTAATTCCTTCCAAGTTGCATGTTCATCTCCTCCGCCACCACATTTTCCCCATGGTAACCCAAAAAAAAAAAAATGAAAAATCCGTGTAAACGAGTTGCTGAATATTTTGTGGTTTGTCGTGAATTGATTGCTGCACTTTTCGAATTTTGTTCTTGTTCAATGCCTTTGCCGAGTTGCTGCATATTTTGTGGATAATGGTTTATTTGTCTCACACCTTGTAAACGGAATGTATCAACCATTACTTGATGTGAGCCTTTGAGTTAGATTTTAGAATCTGAAACTAGTTTCTTCAATTTTTGTTTTTGATTCATGAGCTTTGCATTTTAAGGTTGCTGGTTTTAAGCAAAAACCAAGCAAAGTCGAGGAAAAAAAAAACAGATACACAATAGAGATGGTTCTCTGCTCTTCAATTATATGTTCTTTAATACCTCACATGTTTCGGTTAGGCATTGACACTTTGAACCCAGATTTTGTTTGGCCAGAGTGATGGTGTATCAGTAGTGTTGAGAGTATACTTACATGTTCACATGCAATAAGTATACTTAGCTGCTAACCGTGGCTGAATGTTCACATGGCAATAAGTATACTTACATGATGGTTGAATGTTCGGACGTCCATTTTTCTTTGGTAATAAGTATACTAATCTATTCATCTGTGGCTGAATGTTCTCCACAATCTGCCGTTATATACTTACATGATGATTTGCAAACTTTTGACTATTGTTCTCATATGTATATTTGGAACCCCTGCTGTGCAGTTTCTGGAAAAAAACCAGAAACTGTTTCTGGTTTTTTTCAGCTTCTAGATTGCATTTTTCCGTGGCTATGACGATGTAATTGTAATTAATGGCCTAGTTCTTTATGT